CGCTCCAGCCCTCGGATCATCTTCGTGGTCCCCCTCTGGACGCGCTCCAGCAGCTCCACATCCTTCTTGTGCTGGGGACTCCAGAGCTGAATGCAGTATTCCAGGTGGGGTCTCACGAGAGCTGAGTAGAGGGGCAGATTCACCTCCCTCGATTTGCTGGCCACGCTTCTTTGGATGCGGCCCAGGATACAGTTGACTTTCAGGGCTGCCAGTGCGCATTGCGGCTCATGTTGAGCTTCTCATCCTCCAGCACTCCCAAGTCCTTTCCTCAGGACTGCTCTCAATCCATTCTCCACCCAGCCTGTACTTGTGCTTGGGATTGCCCCGACCCACGTGCAGGATCTTGCACTTGCCTTGTTGAACTTAATGAGGTTCTCACAGGCCCACCGCTCCAGCCCTTGACAGGGCGCATCCCTTCCCTCCAGCATGTCCACAACACCACACAACTTGGTGTCATCTGCAGACTTGCTGAGGGTGCACTCGATCCCACTGTCCATGTCGCCAACAAAGATGTTAAATAGCACTGGTCTCAGTACTGACCCCTGAGGAACACCACTCGTCACAGGCCTCCACTTGGACATTGAACCATTGACCACAACTCTTTGAGTGCGACCATTCAGCCAATTCCTTATCCACTGAGTGGTCCATCCATCAAAACCATGTCTTTCCAATTTAGAGACAAGGACGACGTGTGGGACAGTATCAAATGCTTTGGATAAGTCCAGGTAGATGATGTCAGTTGCTCTTCCCCTGTCCATAAATGCTGTAACCTCATCATAGAAGGCCACCAAATTAGTCAGGCAGGATTTGCCCTTAGTGAAGCCATGTTGGCTGTCACCATACACCTCCTTATTTTCCATGTGCCTTAGCATAGTCGCCAGGAGGATCTGCTCCATGATCTGGCCGGGCACAGAGATGAGACTGACTGGCCTGCAGTTCCCCGGGTCTTCTTTTTTCCCCTTTTTAAAGATGGGGGCTATGTTTCCCCTTTTCCAGTCATTAAGAACTTCACCAGATTGCCACGACTTCTCAAATATGAGGGATAGTGGCTTAGCAACTTCATCTGCCAGTTCCCTCAGGACCCACGGATGCACCTCATCAGGTCCCATGGACTTGTGCACCTTCGCATTCTTTAGATGGTCTCGAACCTGATCTTCTCCTGCAGTAGGCAGTTCTTCATTCTCCCAGTCCCTGCCTTTGCCTTCTGTGACTTGGGCTGTGGAGCTGGAGCTCTTGCCAGGGCTTTAGCTTTCCTAACCTGATCTCTGGCCACTTGGACAATCGCTCTGTATTCTTCCCAGGATACCTGTCCTTGCTTCCACCCTAGGTAGGCCTTGTTTTTGTGTCTGAGTTGGTCCAGGAGTTCCTTGTTCATCCATGCAGGCCTCCTGGTGTTCCTACCCATCTTTCTCTTTGTTGGGATGCACTGCTCCAGAGCTTGGAGGAGGTGATCCTTGAATATTAACCAGCTTTCTTGGGCTCCTCTTCCCTCCAGGGCTTTCTCCCATTGTACTCTACCAAGAAGATCCCTGAAGAGGCCGAAGTCCGCTCTCCAGAAATCCAGGGTAGTGAGCTTGCTGAGCACCCTTCCTTGCTTCCCTAAGAATCTTGTACTCCATCATTTCATGATCGCTGCAGCCAAGGCTGCCTTTGAGTGTCACGTTCCCCACCAGTTCCTCTTTGCAGGTGAGAACATGGTCCGGCAAAGCACTTCTCCTCATTGGTTCCTCTACCACTTGGAGAAGTAAGTTATCATCAATGCATTCCAGGAACCTCCTGGATTGCTTATGCCCTGCTGTGTTGTCCCTCCAACAGATATCGAGGTGGCTGAAGTCCCCCATGAGGACCACGGCTCGGGAAAGGGAGGCAGCTCCTATCTCGTGAACGTGAGGCAGCTCCTATCTGTCTGTAGAGAGCCTCATCCACTTGGTCCTTCTGGTCATGTGACCTGTAGCAGACTCCCACTACTGTGTCCCCTGTCCCTGCCCTGTCTTTAATCCTAACCCGTAAACTCTCAGCTGGGACCTCATCCATTCCCAGGTGCAGCTCCATGCACTCCAGCTGGTCCTTGACATAGAGGGCAACCCCTCCTCCTCTTCTCCCCTGCCTATCCTTCCTAAAGAGCCTGTATCCTTCCATTCCGACACTCCAGTCATAGGATTCATCCCACCACATCTCCACGATGCCAATAAGATCGCATTCCAAGAGGCGCGCACACAGAAGCTTTTACAGAAGAGGTTTATATGCATAAAGAAATATGCTAAGGATTAGATTAGGTTTCAGAGGGAGTACCCCTCTTCATGGACTTATTTTTCCCCTTTGATTCTAGGGTAAGCATGAGTTCGGCACTAGCTTTGCTCAAACAAAAATCTATCTAATTCTTGCTGCTCCAGCTAGAACAGCTAGGCACCTCCCTCAGCACTCCCTTGCTTTTAAACATTAGACAAAATCTTCATATTCTAAAAGAATAAGTTTCTCTAAACTAAAAATAACTTTGAGTATAACACCACATAAATCTGGGTCTAAAATATCCTGAAGTAATATCCTCCCATGTCTTGCATACCTTCCAAAAGACAAAAATCAAACAAAACAGCAATGTAAGTTTTCTAGCACAAAGGTGCTAACTTACAGAAATGTCTCTCTGCTCTTCCCTGCACCCCCTGCCCCTGCTTAACCTCCTACACCCATTTACAGAACATCCAATGCCGATGATTATTAACCTAGCGGCAGAGCAGAAGACTGAAAAGGAAGAAGATTCATCTCATAAGAAGCCTAAAGTATGGACTGTACTTTTGAGGGTTCTGTGCAGAAGGTTGCAGAATCAGTCTTTGATCCAACTACCCTTTGGTGTTATAGTAAAATAAAAAAAGCATTAAAAACTCAACTGCATCATGAGGATCCTTTCAAATACAAGTAGCTGAGAGAGAGAAAGGCACCTTTTTGCTACGTAGACTTGGAGCATCGCAAGGATTACTCCAATGAAGTCTGGACAAGCTAATAACAGTTTTCTGCCCTGGCAAGCAACAAGTGTTAAAAGAGAGAAGCTAAACCAGCTATATGAAGTGAAACCGAATCATTCTCACTTTTAACGGTACGCTAATCTGACCTAGAAAGCTGAATACGTAAGCAACAGTAAGCTAACCTGACCTTGAAAGCTGAGTAAATTAAGCAACAGTGAAGTATTATCAGGGTTATCATTGGACTCACTCTGCTTAATCTAGACACTGCCAACGAGACTGAAGTTTTAAACTCTTCTGGGTTCTTCTGTGCCAAAGTGGTGATCAGGCTTGTAGCTGCAGTAACCACACCCTAGAAAAAACCCAAAGCAATACATTCAAATTTTGTAACAGTTTAAGATGCTGCCTACTAATACCTTTCACTTCAAATTATCTTTAATATACAACAAAACCAAGTTTACCCCCATGACAAAGCCCCACACTGAAAAATCCTTCATTTGGCTAGCAGCTAAACAAATTACACATCTTCAGAATCCAACAGGATTTTCAACAACATGATTCTGCCATGTTTGCGGAGCATTTCATGGTATTTTTTATTAGTTTTGCCTCATGTTTGGATAATACATCTAAAATGAGAGTTATATTAAAATAAAGCCTGATGGAAATTATTTCATTACACAAGAGAAGCATGAATAGAAGAACTAGGATGCAGCAGATCATCTAGAGAATCCAAAGAGTTCTGACAACCCAACATGAAGAGAGGGCTTTGTATAACACAAACATTTCATATTACTGCAGACTAAAGCACTCTTATTGCTGAAGCAAAGGTCTTAAGAGCCTTAATTTCATAAACTAACTAGACAGGGAGAAAAACAGTCTCATATCTAGAACAATACGTTTTTCTGAACCAGCAAGATAAGAATGACAACATGGACAGCACAGGACAAGGAAGTCCAAGCACTGACAAATCAGGCCTTGTGTTTTTAGTACAGGTCTAACCTGAAAAGGCCTAGGAAAATTAATATTACACCTATGCAATATGACTTAATATCACATAGCATAAGAATAATTTATCTAAAGCAACAGCAAAAGAAAAACCATTCTTATAACTCCAAGAAAAAGGTAAACAAAGCTTCATTAAAAATTAATATATACAGCAACTTAAAAAGGACAACTCCTCCTCCCTTTTTTCCCCCCAAGCCTGAAGAATAGCAAGCCAAGCCGGAATAGGCTGCCCAGGGAGGTGGTTGAGTCCCCATCCCAGGATGTGTTTAAGAATAGGGTGGATGAACTACTTAGGGATATGGTTTAATGGGGATTAGGGATGGTTGGACTGGATGATCTCTAAGGTCTTTTCCAACCTAGAAAATCTATGAAAACTATGATGAGCAACCCACTTGCTTGAAAGACTCAAAAAGAAATAAGTTAACAGTGTATTTAACAGCAGAAGAGACATTGTTCTCTACACAGGGTAGGCCCGAGAAGCACAATGAAGCTGATTTACCAAGTGCTGGTCATTGAGGAGATGCACCACTCTAGACGTCCAGTCTCCCATGGGGACAAGGTCAGGAGAAGTTCTATATAAACGCAACAAGCATAATGCAGCACTCTGCTTCACACTATCCATAGTATCTCTGCAAGATATAAATATGGATTTAAAATACAGTGGTTAAGTCACAGCAATGCTGGCAGGCCCATGTTATGCTAGTCTTTGCACTGACTCAGTATCCCTAGCTAGGCAGCATCTTCTCACCAGCAGCTGAAACACAAGTTCACCAAATTCTTCCTATGTTACAGAACTTGTTGTTCTTAGTTTTGTCCAGCGAGTTTAACTAGTCAAGTTTTCAACCATTACATACGTCTAGTAGCCTCTACAATGATTCTTTGCAACTCGAGAGTGACATTTCACATCTTTTTATCAGAATTGAAAGTTCATCATTAGATAAGCACCAGCTCATCTAATCACAAGAACAAGCTTCTTCCAAACTGACTCAAGTCAAACAGTTCAGGTATGCTATATCATGCACATGATCAAAGCAGATCTCCTGAGAGGTCCTCCATATCAGATACAAATTATTGACTACTCAGTTTCAGTACCTACAGCTGGTATGCAAGTCAGCTAGTTATCACCAAGTATGTAACCCACAAGTCTATTCATCTTGCCATCCGTGCTGCTGGCACAGAAATGGACTGTTTTAAGAGCCACATGCTACTATTCTAGTTCAGTGAACTCCCTTTCACAAAGTACTCAATTAAGCATTTCATATGTTGCACAAACAACAGCTAAAAAAATTTACAGAGCATTAGCACTGAGTTTTAAGAGGCAGTTAATGCTGCGCAATCTCCGTTAAATGTTCAGAAACCTCTAAATCCCCATGAGAAGTTCAGTCCACCTATTCTTTCTGAATTTACCAATTTTCCATGAGACTGAATTGTACCTCCATAAAAAAAGAAAAAAAAACAAAAAACCAAAACCCAAACCTATTCCTCCCCTGTCAACTCCCTCCCTCCGACTTATATTCAAGCCAAGGGAGCTACACTGAAGTTGCAAATATAACTGACAGTGCTCATTCCACTCAGGACACTAAGATAAGACATGTACATATACACATTTCATATATATTCTCCTAGAAATGCAGAAGGAATGATGCCCTGAGGGCTGATCTCCGAACATAAAGACAGCTCAAAGTTCAAACAAGTCTGAACTGAAGGTGCTGTGCTCTGTGATTGATGACTCTAAGTGAAATTTTTGGAACTTTTTAGGTTATGCTATTAAAACCCATGACTCATCAGTGCAGTGTTGTCTCCACTACGCTGCAGAAGAGCACCTGCCAAGGGCAGTGCAGGACAGGACAGCAACAAGCCTGACAGGGCCTCAGCATGTGCCATCTCCTAAATATGTGCCCTTACAAAGGGAATTCCATGTGTCAAAGATGGAATTATGGGTTAGATTCTCCCCAATTCCTCCACCAGACCAGACCCACATTAAGCATCAGGCGCTAGCTGCTTATTCTTCTTTTTCTGGTCCACACTACATTTCAGTTTTGCAAAACAGCAACAGTGTTCAAGTGTGGCGTCATACTATTTCTAGAGTTCAGAAGTATTTCCTAAGACTTTTGCCACTACTCAATATCACGTTATATCCTTTCTCTTGTTGCCAACTCAGACAGTGAATATAATATACACAGTCAAATTAGTGTTGCATAAGCAAGTACATTTCCAACATTTACAAGCTCAAGCGCTTAACATCTAGAGTATTAATACAGTTCTTAGCAACACGCTACTTTTTATGTTAATGCAGGACATTAGTTTTATTATAAAACAAGATCCATGCACATTCTAAAACATTTCATATCCATAAGAGAGTTTAAATGCACTGTTTGCACTTGGACATTTTAAGTTTCAAAACAAATTAGCCCTGCAGTCACAAGTTTCATTTTAGATTTACTTAACTACAGCTCCAGACATTTGCCAAGTCTGTTGAGAGACTTCTAGCAATACACAGGGAAAGTCAGAAAGCTGGCGGTGGCTGTTTGCCATTTACAGGAATTGCTGTTTACATGGCTAGTAAATGCAACAAGAAAGCTCACACAACAGAATATTCTCACATTCCTTTTGAAGTCAGGACTATTTACGTAAGAGCTTCAGTTTAAAACAAAATTCGTAGTGTAAACATCTATTTAGATTTATTTATTTCTTCTTTTCATCAGGAGAGATAAGGAAAGTAAACCACACACATTTCAGGAGCATTCACTGCCACACATTTATACGGAACAAAAACTCAATCAAAACACAAAGCTGTAAAAGCCTATTCAAGATATTGACACAGTCTTAATTCCCATGTTGTGTTTGTACACTTATACCCGAGCACGGAGCTGCTTGTGTATCATGGAAATTGTCACTATTTGTACTGCAAGGCCAGGGCTGTGTAGCTCTGAAGCATACATGAAGCTGCTGCAATGGAATCAAGTTGCTGAAAAGGTTTATTGGTGTTGTATTTGAAGGAGACACATCGTACCTACCCAGCTACAAGTATTTTTGGAATTTCTCCAGCAAATGCTTCCGCCATCTCCCGGCTCCCCACATTAGCAATACAATGGAGAGCAAGCCCCATGAAGGTGGGGTTGCGGCTGGCCAGATCATTCTTGATTGCATTGTTTATTAAGCGAATCAGCTCACTGTTAGAGTTCACTAGTACGGAGATGAAGAGATATCCCTGTGATTCAGAAAAAGGAAAACGAAAAATCGATTTTAGCTGCCTTAATTACTTGTGGCATTAACAGAAGACATAACTTGAGACATAGAGTTCTCCTCCAATACCAAACATATGGGCAGAAATAGATATTTAGATACCAGAGCGAAAGCTGGAAAGATTAAGTGAAGTAAACAAAAATCAGTAAGTTCAGTGTTACCCTAATTTACTAGTTTTTAAGTGTTTCATCAATCTATTTCAGCATATACTCAAAAGATCATTTCGGATTAATGGGAGTAAATCAAGAATTTGGCTTATTATTCAGACACTTATCAAGTTACATGTACCTAATAGACACAACCTTACCTAGGTTAAAGAGATACTCTGAAAATTAAATGGGTGGTTACTTTTTAATGCAAGACTCAAGGCAGTTTCTTAACAAGAATAACAACTTTACGCAGAGTGCACATTCTAGTTTTTACAATTAGTACAAGATTGCCTGTGCACAAAGGTGTTTAAATTTCAGACTCACTGCTAGATTCAAAATAAGGCTTTCAGATGGGGAGGCAGGGTGAGGAGTGGAATGAAGGGAAGTCCTTTACAGGCTATACAGCTGAGGCAGGATATTAGAACAGTTTATCTTTTATAGATCAAGTTACTCACAATTTGTTTCTCTGTATATCTATTGGAACTGAGCAGGTTTACAGCCTCCATGTGACCAAAGTCAATGTCATGCCCCAGGAGAAAGATGAAAAGCAGTTTGCAGACATATTTTTTCTTACTGTAACCATCCAGAGCCTTGTCACCTGGAAAGCAAGGAAACAAAGAACAATTAAGGCTCTGTTGTTCCTATAGCTGGTTCCTCTCTCTCCTCAGTTCCACTGAAGTACCTCATCATATCTTACAGTAACAAAAACTTACAGTTGTACCTAGCAATTAAGATTCACATTTGATTCACCATGTATCACTCTACAGAAGAGGAACAAACTGAGGGTTAAACTATTGCAGTACATGAGTTTTGAAAAATTTAAGTGTATTATTTCAGCTTTTATTCATTCTACAGTGAACAAAACGCTAAATATATCCACTTACCTCTGACTTAAACGTCTACAAGTCTTTACGTCATTTTGTGCTAAACACATGAAAGTTACCACAAACCATCATCAACAGATGTCAGACAATTGAACAACTCCTGGGTTTTTAAAAAGTTATTACCAGTCACAGAACACAGGTAGCTTGTAGCTCTTCCTAATGGTCCAAACTAGAAAAATGTATAACTCTGAAAAAGCTGAGCTGTCACTGAAGCAATAAGACTTTCACATGATACTAGTTTTAAACATTTATCTAAATCTGGAATTCATTTATAAAGAAAAAAAACCCAAACCCTGAAGATTTTAGTGTTAATTCCATTTACCATTATCTATATCCTAAAGGACAGTCATGAAATAACACTATCATCTAGTCCATGAATTATCCTGCTATGTCCTCAAAGTATTTTCTTGCTAAGATGCAGTACATACATGTTTACTCAATTCTGATTTTCCTGTTTTTGTTAAGAGCAGCCATTTGTCTTCTGTACACATATTCTCTTGTTAAACCAGTTCTCAAATCTTTATCACAGTAAAAGCTCTTAACACACTTCCTGAAGCGCACCACTGTAGAGAACTTGGTAGCAACAAAACAAAAACAGCGAGTCATGTTAGAAAGATAGAATGATAGAGGTAGGATAGACCGACCTCCCAAGGTCTTGAAAAAACACATGAAATGAGATTACGATGAGAGCTTTAAAGTGTTTGTAAAATGAAAGTATTCACAAGTGTTTCAGTTTTAGAAGAAAAATGCATCCTAAATAGGTTTGGCCTTATGCTGTAGTATTGCTGTATTTTAGAAGCTTGCAAAAGCTACACGAACAGTACAGCAACCTACAGCTCATCAGGCAGACCACCTCTTTTCCTGAGAAAAAGGGATAAATATGAACACAAACCTTTTGCAGAACATCCTGTCACTGCCCCAAATCAGGAGATAAAGGAGTATCCACTAAATCGGACAAGTCTGAATGCTAAAGAGTTCTGTCAGGCTAGTGAAATTGATAGATGAAAGCTCCTTAGGCTCTGCATTCTGGGCTCGGAATAACTAGTCTGTCAGATCAGTGTGCATTCCTTTGTGACGGGCAAGTTCAGCAGAACAGCACTGCAGAACATAAAGCTTAAATAAGATATCCCTAACTTATTGCCCTTACCAAAAAAGCTCCAAGCTGCATTGTTTTTTTAAAAACTTCAGATTTATGTAATAGGCAGCTAAATATATAATAAAGACTCTTCATAGCATAGAAGTTTCTTCTCCTTCCTTCTCACGCACTGCTGCAGAAGGTTAGATTTCCCATGCCACGTGCACCTACAGCTCCCATAGATTTCACACTAAATTCACTGACCATATGAAAACAAGATCAACTTTACCACTAAACTTAGTCTGTGAAGGAACGAACATTACTACCAATGTGTGATGCCACGTAGTGTTAGCGAATCAAGAGAGCATACTGGCACACTGAAGTAGACAACCATAAAAGGTTATGTCTACAGGCTGCAACTATGCATTTTGGGGGGTTACTTTCTATTTTGACTCTAGAAACTTTTTATTTAGTTTTATTTCAACTGATAAAACAAATTTAAGCAAACTGCCATTTTAATATGGACAATGATACCCTTGAAATCCAAGTCTTTTGGTTTTGGTGGGGTTTGTTTTTTTTTAAACTGGCACAAACAGTGTATCAGTGGCCAACAAAAAGAAGCTTTACCTTAAGCTCTTTTTATGCTGTGCAAAGAAAAGTTGCCTTCAGGTCCCTACTGTGGAAGCCAATACAGGTCCCATTTTACTTAGATACATGAAGCAGTGTTACTGAAGGTACTCCTGACAGTGAAATCCCTCTATGCTGGATCCTGTCAAGATCCTCTGACAACAGCCAGCTCTGCAGAAAGCTGCCCAAAGACATGTTTTCTTCAAGTCACATTTACAATTTGCTGCCATAAGGCTATTTTCCTGCTAAAAAAAAAAATCCAGGGCAGTTTGCTTTTAGACATCTGAACTCACATTAGAAGAACCAGAGCAAAACATCCAGACTTGGGAGAGAAAGTTTTTTTGGGGTGTTCCCCCCTCCCCCTCCTTTCTTTAGAAGCAATATGGCCAGAGGGAAAAAGTAGATATTCAGTCATGTGTGTTTATCTGCTGCGGCCTTCAAATTATGGCTTGAGCAGCAAAGGAATAAAGTCTTCTGTACTTACAAAAGGGGAAATAAATACCTCCTATTTTCCCAATAAAATGGTACTCAAGAATAGAAGCTTCCTCCCATCCCATTATGGTAGGGAGATGCAGATCAAAGATACCTTTCTCCCTTAAGGAAACGCAAGGGAAAAAAACACAAAAAAAAAAATCAAAAAAAAAACCAGGAAAGGCAGAGTGTGGCACCTTTAGGTTTTAAACATTTTTTCATCTGCTTAAAAAAAGTTTCTACAAGCTCTTAGGATTTGATTTTCAGTTCGTCCTCTGCATGAGATCTGGAAGGAAAAGAAATAATCAGTGAATAAATCAGGGGGGCTTTATATTACTTAGTGATAAGAACACATCAACTCATGACAAGTCAGCTGTTTCCAGGTGACTGATTAAAGGAACAGGTGATCCTGGATACCATTACCAGATACTGTTATGACTCACAGAAGGGGACACTAAATAAACTGAATCCATTTTAGTCAGTGTTGTTCTAGTGGCTGAGATCTACATAACTGAGGACTTGCTATGATATTTAATAGCACTAATATCAATAGCTGCTTCTCTCAGATACAGATACAAAAGGCATCAGAAAGCAGCTTTCACGTAAACTTTACCGTAAGTGAAAAAACCCCAACCAGTCTCCAAGACTAGAGTTCCAGCTGCCTGTTAGTGTACAATCCATCAGCAACACACAAAAGTCAAAAGTACAAACCCTGTTCTCTCATCTTCGCAAATGACTCTGGTGTTGACTTTCTGAGATGAGAAGGGAAGAGGGAATACAGCATACTGCAACCCAATTGTTTAATGAAGAACACAAGCAATTGAAAGTATATGTACTCTGAACCACATTGACTTTCACAACAAAGTATTTATCATGGACTGGCAATTCCTTTTTCCAGGTTCAGGACCCAGCTATTTAAAGCATTATGTCCTTCCAAGATACCAGTATTTTAAGAGCTCAGATTAATAAGGTCCTTGGATCTTAGGGTATTCGAAGCATTTCTGATGGAAGCTATGACATGCAAAATATATCACCATCCAACTAACCAGAAAAAAAGAAGCTTCCTTCTCCATCATGTGCTATCAAAGAACAATACTGTAAAATCAGTACCTGAAACACTTTAAGACAGAAAAAAATAGTTCACTGACTGCTTTCAAAACCACCTATCCCTTGTATGGAGAACTAAAGGCAGTCTGAAGCTTCTCAATAACAGGTAAGCTTATAAACTAAGCCAAGTAACAGTCACTAGATTTTTTAAAGCTTTTTTTAAAGCTTTACTAGTTCCCAGCAATAATGGAACATAATTGTCTCTTTAAAATCTTATTATTTAATTAGCTGAGCAATTTGAAAAAAGAGCACTGCAGTCAAAGGTGTAGTTGTCTAACTCCAGCTGTGTCTTGAAGAAGCCTTTGATTGAGATTTACTGAAATTTCAAGTTTAACTACTCAATTCCTCTCCCTCCCATGTAACATTTGCCAAAGTTCTATTTTAAACATTACTAACAAGTCTCATTTCTTAAGTATGCACTAAAATAGCACAGCTTCCCCCCAGCCTGAAGAAAACATCCCAACAAGAGCAGAAGGAAGTTCCACATGTTCTGTTATCTTTACTGCAATACACAATCATTTCTTTTAACTCAGCTCATTTTTAAATGCTTTCGGGAACATTTGCAAGTACTGCAAATCAAGTCAGCAGAAACAGGAAGTATTCAGAATGCAGATCAGCAGGTTTTGAGCACAGTGGGCATTTCAAAGGCTACTTGCTTTCCCTGGAAAGTTTATTAGTCATTTTTCTAAGAAAGAAATTATTAACAGCTGACCAGCAAATAATACTATTATTAAGAAAGAATTACTACTTTCACATTTCTATGCATCACCTCTCTACCATTTCAACAGGGAAGTTTTGGTTTTCACTCCCCATAGCTCCTTCTCACATAGTCTCCCAAAAAGGAAGAAATAAGGCACAAATGCATTATGACACTCTTTGCTCCCAAACAGCACCTGCTGTCTCTAGTTTGGACCATGAGTTAAAAAAACGCACCTACTTTTGAATCTAATTCAGTATACTTAAAAACCAGCCCACTGCACAGTTACAGAGCCAGCTACCAGCCAGAGGGGGCAAGAAGGCAATTTAGTCCTGTGGGATGTTCACTGGAGGCAGAGGGTAAGGAAGCCTGACAAGTCTAGCCTCATCAGCAATCAATCATTTGGGTGCCATCTCAAAGACATGACAATCTTAGCTTTTAAAACTGCAGTAACAGCTTATGCCAAACCCACTGGACAACACCCTTAAGTGTTTCTTTGCATTCAGTGTGCTTCCTTTCTAGGTTGACACCGACCTATGTTAATGCAGTTGACAGCAATCCAGGGCTATACTGTATCAGAAGGCCTGCCACTAGCTTAGAGGCTAAGAAAAATGGAAATTGCTCTTTATGAAAGTATCTATACTGAGACAAGATTTGTCTTCCTGTAACAGTGAGAATCCAAGCACTCTAAATGAAAGGCTGAGTATGTGTGGCAGACAACCCATATTGAGTTACCA